CTCTACTACTTATTCCTTCTGCTCTAATACAACCGCTGAGATCTCTACAATATGGCTCAAGTCTATCTCGTTCTTACCTTATGCCATAAACTGCTAAGTTTAATCGCTCAGAGGTCCCTCTGTGGCTCAATTCTGTGTTTAAGAAATTGAGTTTGCTCATTCTAAGCCACAGCAGCCCACAATAATAATTCATCAGACACACGTATACAAATGTGCGCAAAACACCACTTTATTTGCGAATGATTTTTTTGTCTTTGTTTTCATCACGAGTTTGGGGCGGAACTGCGGCCGAACTAAGCCAGCCAGGGACTCGCTGAAGCTCAGGAAGGTGGTGCGCACGCAAACGAGTGTGGTATATGTGTTACGGAGCCCCAATGATGAAGTCTTGGTGGAATCACATAACCGTTCTTACACTGTTAACGACTACGACGATTTTTTTCGGAGCTATTGGCTTCCCGCTCGGAAAAAAAAAGCTATGGAAAAAGGTCAAACTGTTATTACATATCCGCTAGCTGAGCATTCTCCACAGGTGACCGCACAATGTTTGCATGGAACCAGAGTTCCTACAATAGAGAAGCATCATTTCAAGAATGGAGAATTCCCGGATAAACAGCCAACGGTAACTTATGGTGACGGGGATGGAATAGTTAACAAACGCAGTCTAGAAGCCTGCAATAATTCGAGCCAGCGGTAAGAAAATATTAAGTCACCCAGAAGTCATATCCTGGAGTGGATCATTTTGCAATATTTTGAGATACGGACGTGCAGAATTCTATTAGGACTCTTTTGTTTTAACTAAGAAGTGTGAATATATTAAAGAAAGAGAGTATTGGCTGACCAATAAGTAAACGGGGGAAGGGAAACAGGAAAAAAAAGGAATTATCCCAGACAGCTTCCAATGATTCTATTTAGTGAGCAAAAGTTTTCAGGAAAATACATTTTCAATTATATTTTGCAAAAAGTGATTTGTTTCGTCTCGTTTTGTTTTGTTTTTTTTTTGTCTTTTTTTTAGAGAAGCGCGATCACAGAAGTAATAAAAGTGCCAATTATTTATGTCTTTGTTTTCAGAGGGTACAATGGCGGAGAGCGTTCGCACCATGATTCAAACAGACCTAAAACCAAAGTTTATCTTTTAGGGTGAGAAATACTTTTATCATTTTGCCTGCTGTAAGCTCACTTACACACAAAAAGGTTTCTGAGCTTTTCTATCATTCCAGCCGGTTCCCTTCCCCCCCTACATTCGTAGGGCAAGTTCAAAATGGCTTCTGGTTTCTTTTCAATAGTAAGTTTGGGTAAATTTATGTTGTTCATTTAGTTAGGCAAATCACAGTAAAATGGCTCTTAATTGGTTCACAACGTCAGTTTTCAAGCCATTGTTGATTCCAAGCCAAGCACGGTAGTCCCATCCAAACTTGAAACAGAAAGAAATCGTTAATTTCATGCACTTTTCGGTTACTGCCCGAAATTTCATTCCCGTCCCTGCAAGATGTTATGTTTTCTTGAATGTACGGCCAGCTCATAAAAGAAGTAAAGTTGATTTTACAAAATCAGATAAAAAAGCTTTTTCTAAATTAGTTTATCACCTCCAATACTTTTTCAGCTGAACTTTTGTAACCTGCATTGATTTCCTGCATTGATAACCTACATTGATTTCCAAAGAGAAAAGTGTGATGTTTAATTATAAACGTTTCCTTAGCTGTCTTCTCACGTTGATTGAAAATTATATACCGTGTAAACATTCCACGTTTAGAAAGTAACACAAAGCCTTTGCTGCTGGGGCGGAGGGTTGGAACTAGCATGTGATTGGCTCGAAACCACTTATACCATTCTTTCTTGACAAAGAACCTTCACTATTCGAGTCACAGTTTTGCACAAGTTCGACAGCTCGAGGATCCCTCAAAATGCTAAGCAGGAGATCGATTTTTTGCGTGCTAGTTTTGAATGTAACACTAACCTTTGGCAAAGGATGGTGGAAAGAACCAACAAGCAAACCATCTAGGCAACCGCTGAAGACTACTCAAGGCATAAAAACGCCGGTGATCATTGGTAACAGCTGCTGAAAATATTAATTCTTTAATTCTGATTTTTAATATTTCCTGTGCTGTTAGTTATGATATATATGTGATCTTGTTAAACAGTAACCAATTCCTTTACCGTTGACGCAAAACTGCTAAGTATGGGGAATAATATATGGGAACGAAGACAACCATTTGTTTTCTTTAGAATCCCAAACTTATGCTTTTCCACTCTCGCTAGCCCTGAAATTTTGGTGTTTCTTCGGACTTACGAAATTTTGATGATTATTAATCATTTTCCTTTGCTTTCTCACCGAATTGTTGGCGGTTGTATTAATCATTTTGTGAAAAAAAAAATTGATCATTCAGCATTTATTGTAGGTGTTTGCTCTATTGCGCTCTCTCAAGTCCAACACTGCGTTTACAATCGATTGCTGAATGAACCTACGCTCCGCACATCGAAGGTTCAGTTAGAGACCTTATATCGAAGGGTGGATCTCGGGGGAGGGTCAGGGGGTTCGGACCCCTCCCCTCCCCCTCCCATCAGACTTATGGGTTTCGTTACTACCTGTCCGAAATCGCACATCACCACTCAACTTGAAGTATTCGGAGCGTGCTGATCCTAAGATATTGCGTGGTTATCTGGTTTCTAGGAAAAGAGAAATTCTGCGTTTTAGGAATAAAATTTGAACCCCCATCCCTCCGTAAAATTCCTGAATCTGGCCTTAATATCAAGGGCTTCGAATTCATTATTATCTACAGTACCAGGATCTGGAGGCAGTCAAATTGAAGCCAAGCTGGACAAACCCAGTGCTCCAAGTTGGTTTTGCTCAAAGAAAACTTCAGATTACTTCACTCTGTGGTTTCAAAAGTCATCTCTCCTCCCTTACGCTATACACTGTTGGGCTGACAATATGAGGTTAGTAGAAGCTCTCTAGCCATGGAACAAATATTAATTCGTTGAGATGGTCTGGTCAGACGCACGACTAAAGTCCAGTAGGCCTAACGGATAACGTGTGTTTACAATGTAGCAGAGAACACAGCCACCCCCTGACTTCCTTCTAAATATTATCTTGTTTTGATCATCTTTTAACGGATTCAATTTCCAGGCTAATTTATGATGAAAAGACAAACACCGTTAGAAACGCGCCGGGTGTAGAAACGAGAGTTCCCGGATTTGGTGACACCTCAACCATAGAGCACTTGGATACCACAAACTTGATCTCGTACTTTAAACCAATGGTAGACACGCTGGTCTCCTGGGGATACAAACGAGGATTCAGCGTCAGAGCTGCACCGTATGACTTCCGCTATGGACCTGGTGAGTAGCACTTTGATTGCAAATGTCTTAAACGTGATTCTAATAAAAAAACAGGTATAAACATGCTCAGAGAGCTACAGATAGGAGAGGGGGAACCGAAAGCAGCTTGGCTCAGGTTATAATATCAAATTTCTTTCAGAATCAGCGTCGGAATATTTTGGAAAACTGAAGAAATTGATTGAGGACACGTATTTAGCAAACGGCAACAAAAAGATAACTTTGATGAGTCACAGTCTGGGATGTCCCTACACATTAGTTTTCCTCAACAAGCAAACACAAGACTGGAAGGATAAATATATTCTACAATGGATTGCTCTTGCAGGTTCGTAAAGAATAGTAAACATTCAAGGTAAACAGGGGTGTGGCAGGGTTTCTTTAAAGGGGGCTACACTGTGATACTCCTAAGGTACCTACTGGACTGTCATATGGGTATCCAAGGTTTGTTTTCTTTGAAAAGTGACGTTTTGTGGGAAAAGCATCGAGTGATTCATGCTGCAAGGGCGGGGTGAGGTTAAGAGAACCTGATGACCCCGCTGGCTACTCCCTTGAATAACATTCTATGGCTAATAAGCTCATCTATTCTCATCACTTATTTACAGGTTAATTCATTGAAATTGCAAGGAACAGTTACGAAATATATATTATCAATTAAATAAAATAATTATTTTATTTTAAACAGGCGTTTTTGGCGGTGTAGCAGAAATGATTCATCTCTTCTCTGCCGGAGTTACTCTTGGTATCCCACACTTCCTTGTGGACCCAATTGACGTCAGAGGTCAGCAGCGAACATCAACTAGTAACGCCCTAATGATGCCTAGCCCTGAACTGTGGGGCGCGGGTGAAGTCTTAGCCAAAACACCTGATCGCGTCTACACTGTGAACGACTACGAAGAGTTTTTCAGAGATGTTGGGTTCCCACTCGGTATAAAGCTCAGAAAAATGGTGAAAGACCTGATCTACCCTTTAGCCGCGCACGCGCCTCATGTGAGGTTACACTGCTTGTATGGCACTGGAGTCCATACCCCTGCAAGCTATTTATTTGGGAAAGGAGAGTTCCCGGATAAGCAACCGGAAATTATTTACGGCGATGGGGACGGCACAGTCAATCGACGCAGTCTGGAGGCCTGCGGTAAATTTAGCCAGCAGCAGAATTACGACGTCACGCTTAAAGGGTACGATTCAGTGAACCACGAAGGAGTACTGGGCGACACAAACGCGCTGAATTATATCAAGGGTGTTTTATTTTAACGACCCTATTATCTTTAACAGTGAGATTATCAATAAACAAAACGGTTTAAAACTTTTCTTTAGTTGTCTTTTGTCTGTTAAATGCGCGTTCCTTCTTTTTACGCCTCTGAGCACACCTCTTCCGCAAAGTCCTCACCCTTCCCCGGCCCTCCCAAATCCCTCCACGACTGAGAGAACTAAGCTTGGACCCCAAGCATTTCTCTTGTAAGAATATCAAAACTGTCGCGCCTCAGAAAACATCATCCATGAACCAGTTTTCCTCATTCAGAGACGTCGATCTCAGGAGATTACAATTTCCTGTTAGATTACAAAGTCTACAGAGGAGTTTCTGAATACTCAATCGTCATTGCGTGACCATTGCGTTATTTTGTGTCGTAACCATGATTAGGCGTGCGTGACGAAGACCAGTCGATGTTCATGAAAATTCAATAGAACATTTGATCGAAGAGTTCTCGTAACGTAGAAACGCGCCGTAGGATTACTCCGAGAGAGCGCAGAAAATCGTAGCAACCGAACTAGCCATAGATCTTTTATTCTTACAATACAAAGAAGTGAATCAATAGACAGTTGATGGCATCAACAGGAAAAAATTTTGCCTCCGCGCAGAGTGTACCGAAGAGAATGGATTTCGATAGCGCTTTACAGCACGTCGGAGAATTTGGCCGCCACCAGAAACGAATTTACTTTTTGGTGAGCTTCATCTCGCTTCCTCTTTGTGCTCAGATGCTAATTGTAGTTTTTGTTGGTGCGATTCCGGAATGGAAATGTCCATCTCCTGACGGCGACATTCTTCACTGCAATTCAACTAGTGCGCGTTGTTGTGGAGAAGATGGCGCAATTTGCCGAGGCGCAAAGTTTCCTTCAGATTTTACGTCCATTGCAACAGAATGGAACTTAGCCTGCTCTCAACGCTATAAATGTGAGCTAAGTCAGTCGATCTTTGTGGCAGGATACATGTTTGGGGTTCTTATTTTTGGTATTTTGTCCGACAAGTATGGTCGACGGAAGCCATGGTTGTTTGCGTACATAGTTGGAGGTGTTTTAGCCCTCATATCTGCCACTGTCCGCTCTTACGAGGAGTACATCGTGTTACGATTCGCGATGGGGCTATTGAACGGCGGGGGAGGCCTCATAACTTATGTGTTGTCCACAGAATCAATCGGCCCCTCGTATCGCGGTAAGAGATGTAATATTTATTATTGTTAATACTATTATTATAATTATTATTATTATTTCTGTTATTTTAAAAATTATCACCATCATTTTACACATAGAAGTGGGGAAATTACTGAATTTTCTTATTGTGGTAAGTTTTTTCCTAGTGTTTTCTGATCGATTCTTCCGCTCTGGGTTTGACATCTTATTGGCCAGTGTGGTGTGACTTTTCTAAATCAATCATGTGACTAGAGTTGGTTAAAACTTATCACTTTTTTTTTTTCCCCAGGAACTGCAGGTACATGGCAGCAGGCCTTCTCTGCTGTTGGTTATGTCTTTCTGGCAATAGAAGCTTACTTCATCCGCAATTGGCGTACTTTGACAGTTATTTCAATTTTTCCCTCGTTTGTGGTGTTACTGGTTTTCAAATCAATTCCTGAATCTCCAAGATGGCTTGCCTCACAAGGAAAAATAAAAGAGGCAGAACAAATTCTAAGGAAAATTGAGAAAGAAAATGGCTTCCAGAAGAACGAAGTGGTATTTCTGAAAACAGATGCCAAGGGAAACACGGAATCTTCTCAGTATGGAATGATAAACTTATTTACTCACAAGTCTGTATGTGTTGTGACAGTTATCATGATGCTGATATGGTGTGTGAACAGTATGGTGTATTATGGACTGGCATTGAATGTGAAAAACCTTGGGGGAAATCTGTACATCAACTTCTCTCTGGCTAGCTTGATTGAGCTGCCTTCCTGTTTTGTCACTCAATTTTTACTGGCTAAACTTGGTCGCAGAAAAGGCTTATTTTGTCTTCTACTAGGTGCAAGTGTCGCATGCTTCTTGTGTATGTTCCTACAACTACAAGGTGGGCAGAATGTGGCGGCAATCTCTATCACAGCATTAATTGGCCGGTTCTTTATCTCTGCATCATTTGCCGTTCTGTACGTTTACTCTGCTGAACTTTTCCCTACAGTTGTGCGTAATGTAGGTATGGGGATTTCAAGTCTTTCAGCGCGATTGGGTGGAATGGTAGCACCCTTTATAGTCCTACTAGGGGATGAAAGTGCACCTTTCCCAATGTTTGTTTTTGCTTGTACAGCATTGTTTGCTGCAGTGACTGGCTTGAGACTGCATGAGACACAGGGAAGACCAATGCCAGAGACATTTGAAGAGCTTGATGAAAACTATGTAAGGAAACAAAAGACAAATGGTGACCATAAGGGGGCTGATAGCTTACTTTAATAGGACCTGCAAGGAACACATTTAAATCAATCAAATCAATTATTGTATTTCTCCAGATGTGAAGCTCGACTTGCATCAGCAAAATCTAACATTGTCTGTTCTATCTTAAAAGTGCTCACTTTTGTTCAGTGTTAGAGAAAAGATAGACTAAGCCGACAGAGAGAAATTTAGTAAATTTGAAAGGGAACCTCAGTGAGTCCCATTCCCATTCACAATGCCCCTTAACAATTAAAAGAAATACAAATATGACAAAATGTGAAATCAGATTGCTGTCTCAAAGTATTAAAAGTGTTGGTTTTGGGTTCTTTGGGTAGCTGTCTTAATTAAGCCTGTCACAATAGTGCAGCCATTCTATGGGTGCCATGCAATGGGCACTGCTCGACATCCGTTACAATGACTGCACAGAAGTCTCCTCTTAAAATAATAGTTTCACAGAGGTGATAGTGAAACACAAAGGAACAAGGATGACAAAGACAGAGTAAATTACAAAGGCAATGTAGAAAACTGTATGCAAATTGAAATTAAGAGATCCTTGCAGCTAGGAAACACTACTGAAACGAGTAGTTGAAAATAGGACCTGGAAAAATTCAGGCCTGCAATTAATTTCATTTCTTCACCACAGTGCAAATATATGAATTTCATATATCTAAAATCATCATGTTTGCAAATTATTGTGATGGTGACCAAGCCACATTCAATTTATTGCATATTTTATGAATAAAATTTTATATTTCTCCTGTTTATTCTTTAATACTGACGAGGAGAATTCATTTAACAAGAGAGTGTTGTTAGGTTGGTGAGTGTTGTTAGGTTGGGTAGATCCTTTCTCTCCCTTTTTTTTTCAATTTTTCCTTTCCTTTGAGGAAGGGAGTGATTCAACTCTGAAAAAATAGATTTTCCCTAAGCTATGTTCCTAAAATAAAGGCTTGTTAAAAAAAATTTGCAGTTTCTAGATTCAAAGCCACTTTGGCTAGACACCCATCTAGAATAACCAGCCAAATAGTCAAGTTTTGAACCAATGACAACAACCACCCTTCACTTTTGTCATCTTTGGTTTTCTGGGTTACATGTTCACCTACTTTCAATATAGCTACACCCTACCATTAGTGCTAAAATGGTACTCTTCCATTTCCTGAACACATCAGAATAGTTTAAGCTTAAAAAGTTAAAAATAAAGTGGCAATAAAAACAAATTTAATTTGTGTCCTTGATAAAAGAGGGATGGGGGGGGGGGGGGGGGTTATGCAAAGGGGCCCCTTGTTTGATAATACAGCTGGGAGGGAGAGGGGTTGAGGGCTTATTCAGAGCACTTCTGAGAGTGTAGGTACTTATTCAAGGAAATACAATTTTTTTTTTTATTTTGCATGAAAGTAAGTTACATGAAACTGGCCAGCTAAATCCTACCACATCTGTACTGTGTCTAAACTTGCATCCCTAGAATTGTGTAAGTATAAATAAATATAACATTTTTTAAAATAATTCTGTGCCTGATAAACCCTTTGAGGCTGGTAAACTTAGTGTCACACCAAACGCATCCCCTCTTATGAAAAACAATTGCATTGTGAGCAATCTTAAATGTAAAATCTGTCATTAACCCTTTAACTCCCTGAAGTGATTAACAAGTAACTTCTCCCTATAATATCTAAACACTATCCAGTAAACGTGTCATGAGAATATTCATTCTTATCAGGTTGAAGTTGTTACCTCGATCTGACACCAAATTCTCGTATCTTATTTACAAGGAAATGTGTAGCAGCCAGAGGGAAGAATTAACAAACAGATCTTGGGAGTTAAAGAAATAATATGACTAATATTTTTTGTCAGCCCTTTCAAACCAAAGTTCTCACTTCAAATTATTCTTACTGCTACATCCATTATGCAATTTTGGTTCTAAGAATTTGATGTATCCCTTACTTAACCCTTTCACTCCCAGATCAAATTTGTTATTCTCCTTACTGTCAATCATACAATTCTTATAATGTTAGTTCAGAGAGTTTAGTATTGAATCAACTATTTATCCCCAAATTGATATTTTTCTTTATTCTCATCACTCATCTGGTTCATATTGTATTGATATTGTAAGGAGAAATTCTGTCTTGGTCACTCATGGGAGTTAAAGGGTTAACTAATATTTCCTCTTTATTCTTGTCCCCTTTATACTTGTTCTTGTAATGCCAACCTAAGAAGAAATTACTCATAGATCACCCCTGTTGGTCATACAGTGGAAGTAATAAATTACAGTCATAACAATAGTGATAATGAAAGTAAGATTAATGATAGTAATAATACCATCTGATAATTTGATTGTTACAGTCGTGTGTGGACTGAGAACAAAGGATATTTCACATTTTAGCCCTAAATTCTCCATACCCCTCACTATACATGTCCTTTCATACAGACATGGAGAATTTGTTTAACAATCAAACCTTCTTAGTTTGGCCATCATTTCCTTTATTCTCATGATCTTGAAAAAAATTTATATGCTGGTCACTCTTGGGGTTTAAAAGGTTAACCCTTAGCCTCTCAGAGTTACTAGCATCTAATTTTCCCTTACTATATCACCCCTGAATCAAACATGAAAGTCATGAGACTAGATGAAATGATCCCCAACTAAAGCAGCTCTTGATTGTTACACAAATTCTCCTTGTCAGCCTCTTTGGAAATGTATAGAGAACAGTATGGAGAATATGCATACTGATGTTGGGGTGTAATAGATTAATACTGCAGATAAATTGTTTCGCTGTGAATTATGTTTTAATGACTTTAACATCCTCTTGTTTTGATCTCTCCAAATCTTCCATCGTTTCGGGCATTGGATGCCCTTTTGTTTCTGGAAGCCTTAGACCAACTAACCCAGCCACTAATGACATACAAGCAAATATGAACATTGGTAAAGATCTGCTTTGTTCTCCCATTAGAACAACAAATGGACATAAGATTCCACCAATACGCGATGCCACAGTTGCCATGCCCATGCCAACATTGCGGATGACAGTTGGAAAGAGTTCTGCGGCATAAACATACAACACAGCAAATGATGCCGAGATGCAAAACTTCCCAAACATGGCTGCTACTGACTGTGCACCAGCATTTAAATTTTCTTGTTGCTGCAGTTTCATACATGTCCAGCATGAGCCTGCAGCACCCATCATGAAATAGAAAAGAGATTTGCGGCGGCCTGACCAGTTGAGCAGTAAGACTGTCAGCAGGTAAGAAGGGATTTCTACCAAGCCAGCTAAGACAAAATTAAAGTACATATTACCACCTAGGTTTTTTACATTCAACGACAGGCCGTAATAGACATGACTATTTACAAACCAGCTTATGATCATTATAAGGGTTATAACACAAGTGCTTCTGTTCAAAAATAAGTCAATGATTCCATAACTTCTTCCCGTTGAGCCACCTTTCGCAGTTCCCTTCTCACGTCGGAGTGTCACATGTTTATTTCCAGAACCATTTTCAACAGAGATCTTTGATAAGATAGCTTCAGCTTCATCATATCGGCCTTGGGTAGCCAGCCACCTAGGAGATTCTGGAATTGTTTTAACAATGAAAAAGCCAAATGTTGTAGGAAGAGCTGATGCTATGGTAAGATATCGCCAATTTGGAATGAGATAGGCCATAAGTCCTAGTAATGCAACAGCTATAGCAAAAAAGACTTGAAGCATGGTTCCAGCAAAACCTGTGGAGATTAAAAATATTAAAAATTGGCTTCTTCAAGGTTTTTTTTCTCAAAGATTACTTGAAATTTCTTTGATTAAATGCAGAGTTTCAATCATGAGTGTGGTAGTAGGAGGATAGTGTTAAATAAGAAGATAATATTCTCCACATCCAAAAAAAAGTAGCTCCTGAAGGCAATTAAAAGTTAGCCAAAGAATTCAGCTTAGTGATGGTAACCATAAAAAATATTTGATCTCCATGCCTGAGAAAACCCCTCAGGTTTTTATTAGTTTAGGCACACATGTGTATACAACTTAATTTTAGGCAGCAAAATTTCAAAAATTGAAAAATCTCTGAAAAGAAAGCACCACCGAAAAGGCTATGTCTCACAAAAATAAGCACTGAGGCAACAATGGCAGTGCTCTCTGGCCTTTTCAACCCACTTTCTCCACCTCCCTCTCCAACACTCAAGCCAAAATGGTGAAAAGAGTGAGAAGCCATTGATATAAGTTTTGCCTCATCAATATCTCAAGGTTAATATGATCACTGTGTGATCTACATCACACAACATAATGAGATAATGGTAAATAAAATTTCATAGTCCCAACAGTTTTCAGTTTTGAGCAACTTAAGTCTAGGCGAGAATTTAACTTTCCCCCCCCC